CACCCACCCACATCACTACTCAAGCTCATTTCAATGAAAATGATGTCAGTCTCCCAGCTGAAAGCCGCTGAAAGCTTATAGCAAGAGCACGGAAGAATATCACTGAATTGATTCCATTAGCGTAATCTAAGAGAAAACAATGATTTATCAGACTCAGAGCTTGGAAACAGAAAACAAACAGTCTGTGGCAGAGCAAAAAGAAATTCAGATTTATAACCAACCTAATAAGCATGGAAATAAGAAAGCTCTCAGCTTTCCGCAAATGAAAGAGTAAAATATTGTGATAATGCCAACAAGGAGTTCTTACAGATGTAGAAAGTACCAGGAGTGAAGGAGACCAGAGCTTCCCAGTGATGGCAGAGAAATGTGAACAGCTTTGCCCAGATGGGATGAGGAGTATTAACACTATCAAGACACTGTACCAGCAGACACAGCCTGAAACAGAAACAGGTGTAAAAAAATAAAAGAACCAAAACCACATGGGCTGGCCTTAAGATCTGCTAAGTGCCATGGAAATAAGGAACCCTGCCAGTCCCAGGCAAGCATCCAGAATGCCCACAGCACAGCTGGAGATGGGGGCCTTGGGAGCTGTGCGAGGCTGGCAGGCAGCAGCGGCAGGAGGGACCACCAAGGGTAGGGACTGAGGCAGCCTCCCGGTTTGAAGAGGTCAAACAGCAGCAAGAAGGGTTTCATTAACCCTGAGGCACTCAAGTTCCCGCAGCTCATTTCTCCAGGAATGTGGGTAATAGTTTATTGCAAGAAAGGAGACCTCCAGTGGGCATTAGCAGAAGAGGTGTTGGAGAACAGGATCTCCCAGAAGTCCAAATTCTTGTGCAGCTATATATTGAACACCTGCTAAACCCTTGAAAAAAGTGAGGAGGAGCGATGAGGGGAGCAGGGTGAGAGCACAGGTGTTAGTGATGAGCTATTCAACTGTGAAAACATCTGCAAAATGACTGAAAATTAAAGGCAGTCTGGTGTGAGAAGAGAGAAGTTCCACAACGGAGCAAACATTCTGCTATTTGGTTGCCTTTCCTCTCCCTCTACTCTGCCTTTAATTTATGAAGCCAGTAAAGACAAAGCAAAATCCATTAGGAATCCACCCTGCATCTGACCAACCAGGACCTCTCTTCCAACCTCAAGCAATTGTTTCTCACACGTTGGATAAGGGAGCAGGTTGAATCCCACCAGTGAATTTAATCACCTCTGCACAAATACCATCCAGGGTCTGAACTGCTCTGTCAGACTTGCCAGGCACCACCCAGGACGTGGGTGAGACAGACCCTTCTCCAGATGCCGGCTGTGCTGGGACCTCACCTGCTCACTACGGTCCAAGAATGGAGGTGAACGCCCACTGCCCAAAATATTCTGGGAGCCCTTTGCTTGTCACCTACAGCCAGCACACACCTCAGCAACAAGCCTAAAACACAGCCCGTGCCAAACATTTAGCAACTCCAAGATGCTTAGAGGTTTTAAAACTAACACAGCAGCACCAAAGGTGGGAGAGATGCAACTTTCCTAGTTAGTACTCAGACCATACACTGGCTCCTGTATCCCTGGAAAACACAGGAGATCACAGTCATTATTCACGCTTATGAATAAAATATTATTTTTATTTTAGTAAAGTAACAAAGCTTATTTACAGATACAATAACTGTACATTCCAATTGAAAAATAGATTGTGCTTAAAATCATTAAAGCAAGACACACGCAGTCTGTTAGGAACACAAACAACCTCAAACCTCCCAACGCCTTCAGCTCCTGTCTTCTCTCAGGAAATCAGCTCATTTTGTTCTGAATGATTTTCTGCTGATTCTCAAGACATTCCTTTAGCTTGTCTTCAGTGAGCGTCAGTCTCTGCTCCAGGATGGAAACTGTCTGCAAAACAAAACAAAAGCTGCTGCTGAGCTGCTAACAAAGACAAGCTACTTACTGTGGGTAATCAAATGCTAAATTCACAGGAGTATTTTGAGGTATTTCAGGGCTGTGACTCCAGTACCAGCATTTTAGCAGGGCAGAGCCCCAGATGACTTCAGAGAGAAGCAACAGAGGCTGCCGGGCATGAAACTCTCCTGCAGACACCACCTTCTGGCACTTGGTGCTTTCATATTGGGCTCTGCATTTCCTTTCACAGACAAGTTCTGTCCTTCCATATTCATGAGCCACCAGACACTGAAGAGCCACCAGACACTCTTCTGCTAACAAGAGAGAGAGGATTTGAACAGTTTTGCCCAGTTGAAGGTTTGATTTTGCCTCTCTGCTTCAGACTCTTTCGTCCTTCCCTGAATGCCATCAGTTTGTTGCAATTAAAACATGCAAAACTTGCTGGACAAGCACAATGACAAGCAAGAAAACCTCCCAGTGTAAGACAGTGCAACAGGCGACAGAGGGGAATTGAAAACCAAAGTGGCAATATCTACCTCAACATAATACCTAAATATTTTTGTGTAATCCAGTTACCCCACAAAGGATTGTTATATATTTCTCCTCGAGCTGAAGTCATCATGTACAGGATGCACAGGAAGAACATTTTAACCACGTGGCAATAAAAGCTTCTGCTGAAAACCTTTTATTGATCACTCAGAGGTAATCAAGGGACCTAGCTATGCAGAACCGCTTTCAGCTTCCAAAGACACCAGAATGGCTGATAATAGGTGGTGATGATTTAATGCTTTAATATCCATAAACTTATCAGCAACAATCAATAGCTTCACATTTTGAGCATTTTTACTGCTTCAATAACATCCTCTGTTAAAAACAAAGGATGTTCACAGAACCTTGGACTTTAATAAAGTAATTCAAATAAACTTGGACAACTGCTGTTTGTATAGAAGTTATACATAGAAAGCCTTTTAATAGCACATTTCGTAAGCACATCTCTAAGTGCCTGACAAAAGAAAGCAGGTCTCATTATCCCCATTTTACAGCTGGAAAAATGAAAGCACAAAGAGAGGAAATAGCTCCGCTACGACCTCTTGAGACTAGGAAAAGCCTCCTGTAAAATGATTTGGGGAATGAGGCAGGGGGAAAACAGATGTAGTAAAAACAACACCAAGCACTATGGCAAAGCCATCTTGCAAGACTGCTTATCAACAAAGCCAGAAAGGGCTTTGCTTCATACCATTTACCATAATGCACCCTTTTTTTCCTCCCCATAGTTCAAAGCTTATTTCTGCTGCACATGTACCGCTGACCTGTGACAAGGCAGAAGAGCTGACTCCTGCTGTCTAATGCAGCATTGCTGCAACTGCAGAAAGTTTCACCTGAAACAAAAAACCCTGCAATGCTTAAATATTCCTGTGGGCTACAGTACTAGCTTCATTTAAGTTTTTTCCTCCTCTATTGCCACCCCTTTGAGGCACAAGAACTGCAGTACACAGAGAACCATAAGAAAAGTTGTGGAGCCAGCAGGTAACATGCCAGGTGCCCCTGAGCCAGCAGGAGCCCTCCCGTCTATTCATAGGAGAGAGGATTTCATCTTTTTCATACCCAGCTAGGCTATTGCCTAGTGGCTGTCTTGCTAAGGTCAGGAGTAAAGCTACTCAGGGCAGAACACAGCAGGCTGAATCTCTACTAGGGTTTTACAGCTAAGATCTTATCCTGCAAGCAACCAGACAGAATGAAAAGCAGTAGGGATCCTGGCTCTTCCATTTAAAATAGAAGAACTAGTGACTCAAGACTTGGTTAAAAAGGGGGTGTGTGAAACATTGCATCAAATTCCCTTTAGAAAGATAATCAACTGCATTAATGTCCTGGTCACACTGCCCTGCTAGAAGAAAAGCCCCAGATTACTTACTGTTCCTATATCCCATGATTTACTGCCACCACAATCCTGCCGATACCAGTTAAGTGCTGTTACACACGGCACTGTAAGTCTAAGCACAAGTAAAGCAGATCTCAGAACGTGTTGAATTTGTGAAAGAGCTGTAAGGAAAATGTTTATTGGAATGGAAATTGCATGTAAGTATAAGCAGAAAGCTTGTAGCGAGTATTTTTTGGAAACCAGAAGTGGAAAAGTAGCAGTCAGAAATGAAATCCAGGAAGTCCAAAGTAGGAACTGATGACTACAGTCCATTTAGACTTGAATATATGATACCCAAAATACACAGAGCATCTGACATCCTAGGAAGGTAAGGGAAAGCACCGATACTGCCCAGCTGCTATTAGTGCTATATTGTAACTGACACTTAAAAGAAAAGCTCCTTTATTAGCAGCTGACAGAGTTTTACGATATTTCCACGTTGCTATTTATAAAGCAAGTCCTTCTTGGTAGACAAATTAAACTGTACCCATTCAACTCCTGAATGTTTTTGCTACTGCTTTTCAGAAGATAACTAACCAACAATTAAGCCAAGGAGGAAAATACTGTTAGCCAGATTCAGCGAGGAGTTACTGGAGCCAGGTTTGCACTCAAGCCATTTCTCTGTGGCAGGACCTGGGCTTCCTGTTGTGTCAGGAGTACAGTACATGTCTCCATTACACACCAGGGAGTAAATGCTGGATAATTTATTAAAGTCTTGGCTCAAATTAGCAGAAGGATAACAGCTTAGGCTTAAATAAGAAGAAAAATCAACCTTTTTTTTTTTTTTTAAGGAGTATTTCTGACATTAGAGGAATATACCGAGCATTAGTATGCACACCATAACAGAATACAGAATTTTTCATACAGAAGAAAACTTACTTAAATCACTTCTACCAACATTTCCTGCAACATTTGTCTTCATTCATCTTCTCAGACTTAGCCTAGGAAAAAACCCTGCTTTTCCCTCTGGAAACATGAGAAACTGTAAAAAGAAAAAAAGTTGTTTCCTATTCACCTTTTAAGTTCTGGGGAATCCTCAGCTCCATCTTCCCTCAGGACACCTAGACTGAAGCACCCAGTAGTCACACTTGCTTACACGGTAAGTCCTCCTATACTATTCCTCCATGTTATTTTTACTCCCTCAACCCAAGTAATAGTCATTTGTGATGCTGGTCTAAGATGCTTTCATCCCTATCTTTTCCTTCCTCCATGTTAAACATTCCCCTGTCCGATGAGGCAGAGACAGTTTAAGAACTGCTAGCCTCGGGGTTGATGCTTTTGCAGTGGCCCTGGAGGAACAATCAATCCTGCCACTCGAGGACTACAGATAAGGGGAACCAGATGCTAACTGAATGCCAACAGCAACCAGTTCTACAACTGCCACAGGAAACCTGAAAAGCAGAGTCCAGAGCAAGCAAGCAGAGGCCATCAGCAACCCTCTGGAGCGGTGGTGTTGAGTCCTTGACAGAAGTGAGAGATCCACCTAGACAGATGGCTGCTCATTAACTAAAGTAGTACTTAACCTGGAGCTGGTGCAAAGCAGGGGAGCAGTGGAATAACTTTAGGCTCACCCCACTGCTAGGGGATGACTGCTCTGCAAGCAAAAAGCTGCAGATCGTTCCCTGTGAGCAGCACACAGGTTTTTCAGTATGCCACACGCACCGGCTTTAATTGAGTTAGCACACATAATAGCATGGGGGATGCTCCGGCTGATCACCGGTAATTGTGGGACTCCCAAAAAACACATGTACTGATACAACAGTTACTCAGAGCAGGTAACAACAGCTTGGCTAAACCTACGTGGCATATGATCCTGCACATCGACTGCAAAGTAGATGTGCTCTTGGCTACATGCAGGCAAAGTATTACGCTTGCACTTCTATTCCCGTCATCATTTCATAACATAAAATTCCCCTCTCCATTGATCTTGAAGGAGGCTGAAGTAATTTCCTAGCTTTACTTAAATAAAAAATTTCTTAAAAGTTTGCTCCACCATTTTTTCTAAGCATATGCTAAAAAATATTTTGCAGAGCACTAACATATCAAATAGCCTAAGAAAAAACATTACTTCTACCTCTTCAGATTTTTCTTTCCTGTCTGACATGTTAATTTATGATGACAGCATTTTCTTCAAAAAATGCACTTGCAAAAGAACACGCAACTAATGCAGAAGTTTATAAGTTTCCATGCACTCAGTTTCCCCACTCCATTGTGCTGGTACAAGGAGAGACTTATGGATGCCTTTAGGCAGAGTAAATCTTAGGGAAGACTGCAGATGGCCCATGGATTTGCAGAATGAGACTTGTCAAGTTTGACCTTGAGTTATGAGCTTAAGAGCTCTGCTCTCTGTAACGAGGAAGGCCAATCCTGGTTTGTTTTCAAAGACCTAGATGCCCTGCTCTAACTTCTTAAAGTTTTCCCTAAAAATGATTGTTTCAGAGCTGATTTCAGTTCCAAACATGGCCAAAAAGTATAGCAAGTTAACCATGTCATAAAAATACTGCCTTAGCATCCAAGGGCCCCTCCTAGGCAAATGCTAATGAGTGGGTTCAGAGGTACCTATACACCTCTAGGGCACAAGTTCATGACACCTGGACCATACTGCTGTACAGCATCGAGGAGAACTGTACTGGAAAGTAAAAACAGTCTTCCAAGTTGCCAACGTTCAAATACACAGGTTAAAATGGGTAATATTGACAAGAAGAGGCCCCAGTTATTATATGCAGATCACTAAAATGGTACCTCCAACACACTAAATACAGTCCTGAGTGTACACACAGTCCTATGCAGAGACAGGAATTAGCAAATATCCAGGCAAATTAAGCTTGGGACCTCTTTCTCTAATGCAGTAAGTGAAATAAACCACCACAGGAAAAGTATGCAGCAGGGTCCTTTCCACTAACAGTAGTTTAAGATATCAAACTTAAACTGCAAGATTAAGAGGCTCACAGGAGAGCTTGTGCAGCAAAAGTCACCGAGGTTCAAGCAGCCTTTCCTCTTATACTGAATTCTGCCCTGACTTGCTGTCAGCCTCCCTTTAATCTCAGCAACTGGATCTAGTGAAACTCAAAGCAGA